TGATATACGTTTCAAGAAATCAACAAATATGTTAACATCAATCGATGTTTCAGTGCTCGAAGAATTAAGTGCAATCCTAAATAAAATAATAAAATATTATTTATTTGAATGAAGGCTAAGTGAAATATTGCGAATGCTTAAACCGAAAGCTCAGCATACATTCTTAATCTCATGACAACACCTGCAGATGCTCCAGGAGCAAAGTAAATTTCTCCAACATCCCCAATATTAGGAGCTACCTTTCTTTTAGTTTTCCTTAGCAAAATTTCTTTCAGACCTTCAACACCCTCACTAATGTTTAAAATTTTAAAGTAGGCCAATAAAATATCTAATACAACATTCTTCAAAAATGATTTAGAAGAACATGTGAAAGAATATAGATAATATAAAGGTGCCACTGAATCTTCAAGGAACATTTGTAATAAACCAGGTATAGGTTCACTTCCAATTAATATATGATGTGTCATTGTAATTGTTGACTGTAAAGACTGTTCATCTATTATTAGTGGATCAAGGTCTGTAGAAGAATCGCAATGTTGAAATGATTGAGCATCTTCCGGAGTTAGTCCCCACCATTTCCATAATGTACCAAATATATTAGAAATTATAAACTTTTTAGTGATGGCAGGAAATTTATCGGCCATTCTGATAACTGTGAAAGCAACCAATTTTACAATTGGTAATGTTGCATCATCAATGTTTGGTTTTAAGGATGGTAATGTAGAGGTTGATTGTAATAAATTCAGCAATTGTGGACATATTATAGAGAAATAATCCTTTATTTAAGATCGAAATATTAATCTTGCGTATAAATCAATCCTGGCAAATTTGCCCTTCATACAAACTTACCTCAGTAGACTTTGTCTGTGTAGGAACAGAGAGTATTAATCTGGAAACAGTCTCGAACTGTGATAAACCAACTAAAATTGAATATATAATTCAATATAAGGAGTATGAGGAATATTTAACAAAAAATATAAATAAATAAATTATTGAAACCTTCATTATCTCCACCAATCATAAAACTCATAACATCCTTTACTCCATTAGGTCGTAGTAAAATTTGGGTCAAAAATCTGCCACAAACGTTTTTGAACCATTTAGGTGCTGGATGAAGAGGTGACCCTAAAAGCATGGTTAAGGCTTCTAAAGATCGGAACGAATCTTCCCTGAAAAAGACATAGAAACATAAATAAAACTATATATACAGTCAAACATTTGAATAAAAATTGATAAGGTACACATTAGATTTCAGCTGATATTGTAACAAAATCTCGGGTCTAAATTTATGCATATATAGCTAATCTGATGATTTCAGCCAATATCTGATATGTCCTAATGATGAAAGAAATTTACCTTTCAAATAATTTCCCAAACATAGCCACACACTCTTTTCGCATCAATACGAAATTTCCATAGCCCTGCTTTTCAATTTCACTTTGATCAGACATAGCTAATTTATTGTTAGTAGACACATCCAATTTATCATTTGCTGGCAATGGTCCATAAGCTAATTGTAATAACGCTGCATAAACATCTGTGAGATGTCTTGTTTGTATTATAGAAGATACAGTTGTAAATATTATCGGTTTTAATGATGATGAACATATAATCTTTATCAGTGATTGCATTAACTTGAATAGATAAATATAACGTGATTGTGGATCTAGTTTTTTTATAGATTCATTTGCATCATCATTTTGAGAATTATTTGAAAATTCTGAAATTCAAAGTTATATTTTGTTAGGCATTATAAGTAAATAACTGTAATAAAATTAAAAGTATACCCTGCTGAAAATATCTTGAACGGGTTCTTCGTGAAATCGGAATACCAACACCCGACATAAGGCAAGGATATATTCCCCAACTTATCACAATTTCAAGCATAGTGTGAACAAGACTCATGTCTCGTATACCCAATAATTCGGGCTCATTAGTTTTTTTATTTTCTTTAATAAAATAAAGGTTTTTTTATTAGTTTGAGTTTAATATTAATAAACAATAAAAGCATAAAAACTAAAATACCTTTAATATCAATAATATTTATCAATATTGTTTCTAAAGATCCCAAGAGTTCCAAACATTTTTCTACAAATCTCTCTCTCACATTTATATTGGAAAACTTCTCTTGTATAGCTGACTCGGCGATAACTGCTTCATGCATGCATTCATTTGCTTCTAGTTGTTTTAATCTTGAACTTAATCTTTCCTCTATCGTACCAACTAAAATCATATTAAAGATTAAGATTATATAATTAAAGGATTTACTAAATAATTAATCCTATTCAGAAAGATACCTCGTTTTTCTTCATTTATTGTTCCTACCAGAAGATGTGCACTGTTCAATAAATCAAGTAATTTGTTGTCAAGATTAATTAAAGTATCATTTGCCATTTTTCAAAGAAAAAATACAGTACTTTACAGGTGAGACCGTCCTATATAAGGAAATAATTCTGATGTAGCATGATGTCAGTACTTCAGTACTTGAAATTTCATTGGCTGCATATAGTAGACTACTGCGAGCTTCCTAAAAAAGTTACCAGATTCCCTGATAAGTATAGTGTAACATCTATTTCGGAAAGTATCGGGATAAAATGGGACTATTAGACAGACAATTTTTATAGATACGCAGCATCTTTTGAATTTAGATTTTTTAACTTCAGAAATGCCAAAAAAAAGTCATCGAAAGAAAAAAGCTCAACAAGAGGATTTTAAGGTAAAATTAATGATACTTTAAGGCATTTTAAAGTATGAATTTGCAAATACACCCTTTAATTAACTGTATATTACAGAAACCAAAGCTAAAAGTTGGTAAAAAGAAACCTCAAGCC